GGGGGGGGGCTAGGGTGTGATGCATACTGTTGGGTGGACATCAGTCAGCCATTACACGCGCGCGCGCACACACACGGACAAGAATGTGATGTTGGTGCACAGTTAAAAGCATACCGAGGAATGCTTTCAAATGATGTGGAAAAACAGTGCTGACAATGGCACCCAGGCAGCACCCAAGCAATGACTACATCGCAGAAACCGAGAACAGCCGGTGCGACCGAGGCGAATACATGATCGATGTACGGCGAATCCACGTTTACATAATTTTCACCACAATTTGCGATTACATCTGTGGGAATTTGTAAGAAGTGCTTGTATCGTTCATGTCAACGTCGGCTAAATTCGCATGGATTTGCGATAAATCTGTGTTAACTCCCGATAAATGCCCGTTGATTTTTGTGGGGGGGGGGGGTCAATTCATTGGGGATTTCTCCATTGTGAGGCAAATAAAGGTTTTCTTATTCTTATTATTCTTATGTCAATTTGCGATAAATCCCCAACGATCGATACCATCGAGCCATGCTGTTTTACGGTAAGATTCTGTCCACAAGAAATCCACATGAAATGATGGTCAAAAATGCATTCATTTGCAATAAATCCGGTTGACAATAAAACCATGTCAATTTACTCAAATTCCAGGTTGACAAACGAAATTGGTTATCTTCAGTCAAACTTTATGGTAGGTTACAATAAAGCCGCGTTAATGAACGATTAATTGAAACCAATTTCAGAAACATTAATGCTCGCTTACGATATCTCCGGGCCAATTTAAAGCAAAGCTAGCTTACAAAATATCCACGTTACAATCAACCTGCAATGAATTTATCATCAAAATATTAATTGACAATGAATCCATTTTATATAACAATAAATCCTTGTTACCATAAACCCGTGTCAAACGGCTGCAAATCCAGGTGAATTTTTTACATCAATTAGGAATAAATTCTTGTTCATCTACGCACAATCCCCCCCCCACCCCCCAACAACAATTTAAGGTCACAAGAAAGCCACGACTGACGATGTGCATTTACAAAAGCTCCATCTGAGTTGCCAAGGAATCCACATTAAAAAACTTTGATCATCTGTATGTGATTCAAATAAATCCATGTTGACTCCCCAATTAATTCACGATTTGGTTCACTTTAAGTTCCAATCCAGTCAGTTCACGGTAAAACCAAATGATTTTAGGATAAATCCACGTTAAATACAATAAAGCTGTTAAAATAAATCTGTATGAATTTATTAATTAATAGATCTATTTATTTACAAAAAAGATTTTTCATAGATTTAAAAAAAACTTGGGAATGAAACATAAAATCTGTTCATTTCGGATTAATCCGTGCGAATTTGCGATGAATCAATGTTAATTCACGATAGATCCACGTTAAATTGACAATCAAGTCATGTTAATTTATGTTAACTCCATATCGCTATGCAACAAATCAAATTTACGATTAACTATCGCTACTTTTCAAAAAGCTACGTTGGTTACGATAAAGCCAATTTGCGATAATTGTGTGGCAAAATGTATCAATTTAAGACAAATCATTGTCCAACCGCTTAAACAGTTTATTTTATGATACATTTATGTCAGAATACTAAAATATGTTACATTGCGATGAATTTTCCACTAAATTTATGTTATTTAAAATACATTGTATTGCTTCGGTTACGATAAAGCCAGGATAACTTATGATGCTCCCAAATCTGACATAAAACCACGTAAAACTACAAATCCATCATCATTTACAAGACATATTTGTATGCCGGCAATAAATCCAGTTTAACATATATGACCAAAAAAATCACGTTAATAAACAATAAATGAATCGTTAACTGTTTAGGACGGCAAAACCACAACTGCACCCTTCAACTGTAAGACTTACTCAAAAAACAAACCAAAAACACAAAAGCAGTCAAACACAGCCGTTTCTGTGAATATGTGATTATTTCCGGTGGCATCAGCAGCACCGTAAACAGGGCGAACGTAGATTATTATTATTATTATTATTATTATTGCAAAGACAGGATGAAGGCGATGCTGAATGCCATTTTACTTGACTCACAATTAATCCATTTGCGTCATCCAACACTATGAAAGCTTCAATTATTTAAAAAGCGTTAAAAACAACCACTTGAAACATTTTTTTACATATACGTGTAGCACAAAAAGTGACATTCCAGCGGATGAATATATTGAAAACGGTAAAGTCGAAAAAGAAGTCAACAATTAGACCGAAAAGTTGCCGGCGGGTCTTACCGGGGAGCAGCGTTCGTCCATCGGTCACTGGGGGACGGCCGCACGCCCGGAGCTCCTCGGGGTGCCGCGGTGCTCCATGAAGCCCCCCCACCTCACGGGCGCTCACTCCAAAACAGATACAAAACAAATTGGGTTTCAAAATTTAAAAAATATGTCTGGAAGTCCACAATGGGGCAAAGGAAGTTGGCATTAAAAAAAAAGAAAAGACAGAGGGGTGGAAGTGAGGCGGGGGGTGCAGTAAAGTTAGAGAGGACCAAGCGACCCCCGCCTGCTTGCGCGCCCCCTCAGCCGCCGGACGCGTTGTGGTGTCAGGTAGAGGAGTTCACCAGCGCGGGGGGGAGAGAGGGAGAGAGAGAGAGAGAGAGAGAGAGAGAGAGAGAGAGAGAGAGAGAGAGAGAGAGAGAGAGGGG